GCCCAGTAAGCCACCCCGGTGACGAAGAGAGCACCGGCCGCGCCACCCAGATACGGCAGGTAGTCTTCGAATTGGGACTGTAACACTTCGTTTAAAATCGTTTGAACCGTTCGGGAGAAACTGCCAGACTTACGTAAGCGGTGAAAACGCGAAACGGGTAGGTACTACCTGCATAACGGCGGGTCTAAGCAGATAGACGGGATGCGCTAACTGTCGCGAAGTCGTTCGACGACTTTGTCCCCACAAGCGTTCGACCACCACGATCGCTCACCACGAGCGACTCGAGCGCGGTCTCGTAACGAAGTAACTTGACTGTATCCAAAGTTCAATCCCCATGATCCTGATTATCCATGGCTTTCGTACCACTATCTTACGGCCCTGTTATCGCGTGAACAACAACCAACTGCGGGCCGCGCGATCCCGCGGAAGCGCTCTCGAACGCACCGCGCGGCACAAAGCGGACTTGCGACGGAGTTGCTCCCGTATCTTTTCGTAATAACGACAAAAATATTAAATACAATCTCGTACGATATGAAGCGGGAGAACGAGAGCAAGAGCGTGCGAGAGATAAAAGAAGAGCGAACGAGCGAGCGTGCGAGGAGATACCGGCACGTCCGACCGCATGATCGCTCGGAGTAAAGTCGATAAGCGATAGCGTGTACTCACTGGCGTGGGGAGAAGCAGAATCAGGCCCGCTGAGAGTTTTTCCGCGCGAGGATGAGACGGCGCGGGATCCTCGGCCGAACGTGCCGCGTTGGACACGACGGGCGCGGAGATTCGAAAGAGCGAAGGATGGCACACACACCAAGGGTGGTGGTCGGCTCGGATGGCCGGAAGTGAGGCTTAGGTCAGGGCCACGGCATGACACTGCCTTTTTTCCTTCACCACCGTACTACACAGATCGCTCGCACGCACGGATGCGACGCGGAATGCGGATTGCCCTCACTGCCGTAAACGCGGCGCCATGACGTCACCTCGCGCACCGCGGCGCACAGCGAGGACGGCGCGAATCGATGCCGGGCCGGGTGGCCGAACGGGCGCTGCGACGGCGGCCACCCTTTTCGTCGTCACCGCGACGGCAGCCACCCCAATGAAAGCGATATAATTTACCACCGCGCGCGGCGCATGCGCGATCGTCTCCGACGCGCCGCCGCCGCGACCAAACGCCGGCCGATGAAATTTGCGAGACCCCAACTGTATTACCATATTGACGTACGTTATCGCTATACTTTTTGTTCGATATCTTGAAAAATGGGGATAGCTTGCAAATAGAATATATGTACGAGATATATATCTATAGATTTATCATAATACATATACATATAATGATATTGCTCTGACAAAGACCAACGACGGTCGAAAAGATATTGCCATTCGTTGGATATGCTGAATACTATAAGGTACGATAATTTATGATGCATTGAGAAATGTATTTGGAATTTGTGATTATAATTATGTTGCAAAATAATTATGATTAGAAGTTCCATTTTCATAGTTGTTACTGTTATGAATTAGTAATATTTATAGTACTATATATGTGTATAAGAAAATATAGTTGTTTTCGGGACCAACTATACATATATCGATATACGTACATAATAATATACATTTTTTATATAAATTTAACTCTTAATTTATATAAAAAAAAATAATTTTTAAACTATAATATAAGATAAAAATATAATATATGATTACTACTATTATTACTAATTATAACAGTAATAACTGAAAATCAGGTTTTTATAATTTAGTCATCTTTTAGATGACTTTGTGCTCTCTGGGATACTAAAGACTTTTTTTCGATCGGTGCAGTTGAAGTACAACACAAAATCTAAATGTAGGAACCAATCGTATTAAAGAATCGCTAAACGCTAATTGATTAGTTTTCTCTGCTGAACGCAGCCAATGTCTTAAGATGCTAATACGGCTCTCTAGCCGGTATATTCATAGTCGGTTCTTATTTCAAAACCATCTTAAGTAATGTCTTAATACGCTAACGCGGCTCTCTGATTGGTTCATGACACCTCAAGGCTGAACTTAAGACGATCTTGAATATAAGAACTGACTATGGCCGGTATTCATAGTCGGTTCTTATTTCAAAACCATCTTAAGTAATGTCTTAATACGCTAACGCGGCTCTCTGATTGGTTCATGACACCTCAAGGCTGAACTTAAGACGATCTTGAATATAAGAACTGACTATGAATACCGCCCTCTGATTGGTTTATAGCACCATCTCGAATCTTGAGCATCGTCTATGGATTCCGCCCAGAGTGAAACTATTGTTCTTACCTATATTGTGATGTTAGTATTCCTTTGCTGCCGATAGATGACAGTTGCTTACGATACCCATTTAAACAAGCCTCTGCACTGGGTCGACTGGTTCTACGCTTTATACGGTCGATTCCGGATTTGTATGGTTCCGAATTCGATTCCACTTACGCCCCACGAATGTGATTTTTTCTTCATATTAAATAAGTATCTTAATTACTCCAATCTTGTGGAATAAAACTACAAATTAAAAAAGTGATTTGACTGCGGAAAGAGGATTTTGAGATTGCAAGATGAGTCTGAGACATCCAGGAGTATCTATATAACATATATGTATACTCCTTTAGAATGTGTGCTAGACGTAAAAAGAAAATGATTAAGACTTAAGAAAATGATTAAGAAATAAGAAGTTATAGGCCTAATAGACTGCTGACTTCGTCTTTGGTATGCGCCATGTTTGAAGACGGCACTGGGCAGCGCCATATTTGTGTTTACTCACTCTCACATATATAAATCACATGGATAATAATGTTAGCGTTTTCACATAAATTGACGCGATACTCACAGACATAACGCATATATACGCATATGAGAACTGTACAAGGACAGTTCGGAATCACCTTCATCTCTTTCTATCATATTGAGTCAGCAGTCTAGTTATAGAAGTCCGTGGTGTATTTTCTGAGTGGTTACCCTCTCGGTTTTCCCGCTTCTTTATTCAGTCAATTAAAAGTTATTTATAAGTGAATTATAAGGTATATTATTGAATGTAAATCCAGTACTCTTAATATCTTTCCATCCTACCTACTCTTTTGTCTGGTAAATTATATTTAGTGTTTATTTGTACTCATGTACTTTTGTTTGTCATTAGGTAGAGTAAGTTTATATATTATATCGTACAGTCATAAGACAATTGAAAAGCATGGGATTGTAGAATAATTTTATATATTATGAAGTATGACATGCTCAATACTGGACAATAGCAACTTTCCCAGTATCGAAGAGAAAAATCTTAACGTTCTGAATTTATATAAGCGTTTATTTTTTATTTGTGGTAGAAAAACTAAAAATAGGTCTTATAACGAAAAAATTAAGTAATCTTAATGAGTGCATTATTTACTTAAAAACCACAAATGAGGCATAGATTCAGTGCACTTCATACAAAAATCTGAGGATTATATTCTAATTCACATCAGGGGAAAAAATATTTATTGAATTAACGCAACTTTTAAATCTTGACTCTGCTCTTTCTCGCCATCCAATGACGAAAATAGTTTCGATTTCGTAGATATTGTAAAGTTAATTGTATTTTAATTGCGATATGGTTTCATGTTTTGACCTCAATGACAGCAGTTATTTTTTTGTATTCTTCCAATTAAACTTTATTGTACTCTAAAATTTTAATTCGTGGTGTATTGTTATTCAGGCTGATGAAGACTTAGTATAGTCGAAACGTTCCATAATTTTATTATGTCATTGAAAAACTAACTTAATTTGAAATAAAACTTAATTTGCTAATAGATTGTTATAATAAACTAGTTTAACTCTAAATCTTTTTTATTGCTCGTCGTTGATCTATCTATTTAAGTTATTTTATTGCTGTTTTTAATGAATTAATTTTATTGGCAATCTGAGATATATCTACATATATGAGAAGTAAGAAAAAAATCAAAATGTAACTGAGAAATTATTTGCATTATATTTTTATATAATCGTAACTTTTTTATTTTTTATAGACATCTTGCTCGCACGCAATGAAAGTTAAGAAAATATTACTGACGTTAAAAAAAACATCATCGATTTTGATTATCCAAAGCGGCATTCTTCAGCTAAAGATACCGATGAACATCGTAACCGGCTGGGTAGGCATTGGTAGGCATGTAGGGTCGCTCGGTCGAGTGGTGGTCTGCGGTTGATAAGGACATTCCAGGCGGTAACTATGGACGCCTCGATTGGCGGCTATTTGGAGAGAGCGGTCCTTCAACCGGAGCTCTCATCTTCAAAGGATATGACGTTCGCAGTCCGAAGTAGACCGGCATCGACATCGTTCATCCTCCGGGAATCACGCACGGATTAAAAATTAATTGAAGAAAAAGACACGTACGTCTTGTATTTTATTAAAAGAGAAAGATAAAAGATAAAAGTTACGAGGTGAATGAACGAGTGTAGCAAAATAGATTCTCATCTTTATAAGTGCAATTTTTATAGATTTTATTCAAATCTGATGAGAGAAAAATATATCAAGATCAATCATCTAAGGTGCAATACCAGAAATATAAAATATACAATAATAAGTGAAAATTGACTAAAAAAATGTTCCACACAAATAAGCGATGGAGACCATATATTCAAAGCAGATCTTGATGCTTAATAATACTTTTGCGTGAATTTTACAATTTCGAGTTTAAGCAAAATATTATATTATGGGGATTTCCCTGATAAAATCTATGACTTTTCCGCCTTCGTCTAAGACACATCGAGGATCTGCCATGCGAACTCCAGGAGTTTGGCTGCTGTTGGTCGCGGGTGCGTTCTTTGTCTGCTGTTTATGGAAGATCGGATCGATCAGTCGATGGAACTCCAGCATGCGCGCACAGGCTTTAATTCACTTCGACCTGTCAATTCCGTCATCATCGTCGTCGTCGTCATTATCGACGTCACGTCGACCTCCTTTTGATAGGACTAACTCGAGACTCTCACGCGACGCCGTGCGCAGAAAACATCGCGGCACTCTGTCCAAGTACATGCTGCAGCTGTACCATCGGCATCCGGACGCTGACGTCGTCCGCGCGATTCAACCAGTGCACACTTCCGGTTTGCTCAGCGACGGCGGTAGGATTTTGGAATTCGCGATCCCGTCCACCGAAGTTGATGAGACGCTGGAAGCTGCGGAATTGCTCGGGATAGCCGGCGCGATAGTTAGAGTGCGATCGTTGAACGATCTGTCTACGATGAAGAACGGGAGTGAGGAGATCCGGAAGTCCAGGAAGGACGACGCGTGGCGGGCTTTTGATGTCACGTCCATTGTCGCCGGCAGGAACGGTGATACGGTTAAGCTTTACGTTCGTGGCAGGCTGACCTATCATCCTTATGGAGATGGCCCGATTCTTCTGCTGAATTATAGCAAGGTCAGAGACGTCCGGCGTCATCGACGATCCGCGGAGGACCAGGAGGATCAGGATCGTTGGGACGACGAGCTGCCACGAAGACGACGCCGGAATAGTTGCCGCCGGAGACCCATGTACGTGGATTTCGCCCTAATTGCGTACGACGAGTGGGTGGTCGCACCGCCAGGGTACGAAGCTTATCAATGCACCGGCAAGTGCTTCTTTCCGTTGGGCGATCATCTCAACCCAACTAAACATGCGATAGTGCAGACGTTGATGCACGGCGCAGTCCAGGCCAGCGAAGATCTCCGTGGCAATAAGTTTATCAGTAGAGCCTGCTGCGTACCCACCAGACTAGCGCCTACGAGTCTGCTCTACCTGGATGCCAGAGGCACTTTGACCTACGAATATGGCTACGAGGACATGGTCGTCTCCGAGTGCGGTTGTCGCTAATTGATAAATCACTCCCTTGCTTCAAAAGTGACACAACTCAAAAAATGTGATTTTTTATTATCATGAATGAGATAAACGTTACTCTATCAATCATCAAAAGTGAACTAACTTCTTCATTAAAAAATCGTCAAAAAGGCGCAACTGAAAAGGGCGGTTTTAAAAAAAGAATGGTTAAAATTATCACAACTGCAAAAGGATGATTTTTTTTAAAGGATTGTGAAACAAAAATGATAAAAATCACTTTTTGTTGTGTATCACGTTAGGAATATGTCCTTTTTTTATTATTTGATATTATTTGATTAATTAATAATTTTCTGTGAAATTGAAAATTTCTGGTTTTTCCTTTTCCTGGAAAACTTTATCTTTCACCGACAATATGAATTTTAATTCGATCAGCAATAAGGGTATTCGAGAAATTACGTTTTAGTCTTTATTTTATTCCAGATTATATAAAAGTCAACGATTTTTTATCATCATAGAGAGGTCGGATTATATTTTACTTATTTTTTACAGATTTAAATTTATCTACAAAAAATTCACAATCAAAATATCGATGGTTATACTTTTAAAGATCCCCATTGTCAATGGAAGGTTAATTTCTGTATCACTTTTGAAGTAACAGAGTGATGAGTAATTAGACGTCGTGAACATTGCACAGAACGAAGAATATATGTTTCTTTCGCTTTTTTATTAACAGAATTAACGTGATATTATGTAAAAACGAGTGTACAAAATACATAATATAAATACATTTGAATTCAGATGCGTAACGATTCGATTTTCGAAGAAGAGAAGAATGCATTGTATCATTATTGCGTATAATATCAAAATTGAAATATACAATATAAAATGAGAGACAAATCAGAGATCAACTGAAAGGTTTTCCACAGAAACCAAGTAAGCTCCATTTAAAAAAATCTAGGTTATAGCGCTAAATCGTTCTCTACGAGCAGCGTCACATCATGAACATTTTATTTCGACAAGACTCAAACAGAAAACGGGAAATATAAAGGCCTATTCAGAACGCGCTTATAATGATGTTAATGTATTTAGTATGTATATTTATATATACTATAGAATTTAAAAAATAAAATCGCCTATTTATCAATGCCGGAGAAAAATTACTATATTTACAAAATGAACGATTCGCAGGTAAAGATTTTTATTTCTTGAAAATTTGACTTTTGGACTCGTTTTTGTGAAAAACCTTTTAACTGTGTTTCAGAGTTTTTATATACAAAACCAGCCAATTGGAATTGCAATTAATGTTTAGAACAATTAAGTAAGAATATAAAGAAAATTTCAAGATTTAAATTTTGGACTTTATCTTTTTTGACTAAAATGCTAAAACAATATTAATCTAAAATAAATTTGAGTAATGAATGCATTGTCATATCGAGGTTGAAATATAGCATTATCCATCAATTTGAACACAAACGCTGCTATATTATCATAGATTTCACCTTTAAAATCACAATAATAAAAACAACAGTTTCACAATCCTTTATCGACAATCAAAAAAATCACTGAGTAGTCTTCGGTATGCGTTAACTTAAATTCGTGAACTTCGCGCACATTTCATTGTTTTTTTGATTGAGCTTGTAGGACCTGCCAGGTGAGTGAACTTTCATCCGGCGCGTTTTTCTCAGTCTATGCCGGCTGCCGGGTATCCTTTCGATTTTGTAGACCTGATACTTCACCGTAGTAACCGGCTGGCTTAGTCTCATGCACAACGCTGAAGGTCCACTGAAATCCACGGTGGTGGATAGTTGGAGCTTCGGCTCCATTGCCATCGTGAATTCCGCCTTGCTCTGCACGAAGCTCGTGTGCACCCTGGTGCCGCCATGGACCGTCACGCCGGCGTTCATCTCTACCAGGGAGCGTGCATTTCTCGACCATAGACTAAGCTGAATCTCACCGGCCAGCTCGAAACTCACGGCGCCTTGAACGTCGAGCTCGGCGACGAAACCGGATCCCAATGGCACATATTCGCTATGACTGTACAGTGAAGCGAGAGCTTGAAAGGCGGGGGTCCTTGTGTCCGCAGTGCCTGACCAGACGTGGCCCATCAGTTCGCTCTGCCCGGTGAAAAAGACGAAAGGTCGTATCCCGACGTCAAGAATATCAATCTCCATTCCAGCAGTGGCAACCTCGACGTCGTCGACCTCCGTCACTTCATCTTGATTCGATACGAAGCTGCCAAGACCGCCAGCGAATAGTCCCAGCGAGAACATCGCTTGCCGTTGCTCATTGCTCTCCAGTACGACGTCCACGATGCCGCGCTTCAGAAGACCGGAATTCACTTCCTGAACGGTAACCAATGAACCATTACTGTCGGGTGAGCGCAGGAAGTGCCTCGCGAAAGCGGTGCTGAGACCCCGCTGCGCTTGCATGTGATAATTGTTGAGCGTCACGTTGCCAATAACGTATATATTCCTCAAGTATTCAGCGAATCGTGCGTCTCTCTCGGCGAGCAGCTCCAGACGTTGAGTCAAGTACTTACGGACTTCATAGGCTGGGTCATTGCTGCTCAAATATTTCATGAAGTCGCGTAGAACCTCTTCGATAGGCTCGTTCTCTAGGATAACATCCAGCGCGATCGTTCGCACGCTGCTGTCCCTTCGCGGCCCTCCGATCTGGTAGAAAACCTTATATGCCGCGCTCTTCAATTCGTCGGTCACAGCTTCACGTGGAAGAGCCTTCAAAGCGCGCCAAGCGGCGATGCTGATGGTTTTGCTGTCGCTTAATGCGTGCACCAGCAACGTGGGTATTGCCGCCGGGCATCTCAGATTTCGTAGAGCTCGCAAGAACTTGAGCTTGCACTCCTCGCCAGTGCAGGTCTCTAAGCCTAGTTCCAGGCTGACTCGCGCCTTCTCTATCACCGCGGCGGACCCGTAATGTCGCGCCATCGCGCCCGCCGTGAGTGCATAAGTCTCGGATACTTTGTCGTTTTGCATCGTCTCCTCGGAGCGACGTAGAATATCTCTGGCAACATCGACATGTGGCGTCGGCGAGAGAGATAGTGCCCACAGATACCTTTCAGTCTCATCGCCGGTCTCATCCTGCCGGAGTATCTTCATGGCAGCTTGATGAGCGGATAATGTAGAAGCGGCGCCGAATATATCCAGCAGCTGCATCTTTATCCGTTGATTGCGCGGCGTCTTTAGGATCTTGTGCAGCTCCTCGGGCGAGGCGTTCCTGACTAGAGGTAAAAGCTTGAGGAAAGCCGACGCGGATTTCGCCGTGCCCAGCTCGGAAGCAGTAAGTGTTTTGTAATATTCTTCGATCGCTTGATCAATCTGCAATGAGATATAGACTTACGGTTTTAATACGAAATATATAAGTACTAAAATATTATTTATATACTATTATATTATTTATTATTTATGTACATATTATTAATGTACTGATATATTTATTTATATATTTATTTAAAAGACTGAACGCACTGCAGTTTTCATGGTGTCAAATTTTTATCTAGAGTCATTAACATTCATGTCTCAGAATCAATGTAAAAACTAATATATTAAGTGCAAATGTTATATAACTTGTCAATTATTTTTAATTTATATTCAAACTTTAGAGGACATTCAAAAAAGAACATTCGATTCTTGAAATTATTTATCATGACCATGTAACATATAATGGGTGCCTTTCAACAAGCGACACAGTGCGACACAGTGATGTCACCTTTGTTTAATATTGGCAAAAATAACAAGGATGTAACGATCCATTGTGTCACACCGTGTCATTTGTGTTGGAAGGCACACAATATCTCATAAGAATTAATATAAACTAATATATTAAGTGCGCGAATATTACGTAACCCGTTAATTATTCTTAATTTATATTAAAACTTTAGAAAACGTTTACAAAAGAACGTCCGATTTTTCTAATTATTTTAATCTTAACAACAGTAAAATTTGAAATTCTTGTGTTCGATACAAATGGCAGACAACGCTGCAGATCTCCTGCGTTGTTTTCTATTTATTTACTTTTGCAACTTTCAGGGCTGGGGAAATGTATTTAAAATATTTTTGTGTAAAACACATATTATTTGCAATACAAGTATATTTTGTATTTTAGCGAAGCACATGAAGGTCTTACGTATTTTGTACTTAAAATAGGAAGATTAAAAGTTTTTTTTAGATGATTAATTTTCTAATTCAAATAATAAGTTTGATTGACAATTTTAGTGTGAAATACAAAATACTTTTATATATTTTCACGAAATATAAAATACAAAATATTTTCATGTGCTCCGCTGAAATAAAAAATACAAAATATAATTTTCTTACAAATACTGTTTTTCAAATAAAATACTGTATTTAAAATACATGTCCAGCCTTGGCAACTTTATGCATCAAAGCGTTCTCTCTACAATTTCATTAATGCGTTATCTATCCCCGTCGTTCGAGAACAATGAAAATACTAAAATAGACGTAAAATAGAACAGGCAGAAAGATTTACTGTGGGACATCCGGCATCAGGACATGTGGCGAGCATCGGTTGGAGCTCGATGTCAGTCTCTTTATATTCAGGCTTAAGCAGCACCACAGCCTGCTTCGCAGAATTCGCATGAACCGCCGTTGCACTGATGGTCTCGACTGTCTGTTCCAGCGTTCTCTCCGATACGACACTCGTACCGACGTCAGGCTTAGACACCAAGATCATTTTGTGTCCCTCATAGTCGATCACGCGCTCTGGCAACAGCGATTGCGTTAGCATGTACTTAGAATTACGATAACTCTCGAGTCTAACA